TGGGTGATCTCAATGCCTCCTCTCCTCCCCTCCCTCCTCCTCCTCCTCCTCCTCCTCCCTCCTCCTCCTCCTCCCTCCTCCTCCTCCTCCTCCTCCTCCTCCTCCTCCCTCCTCCTCCTCCTCCTCCCTCATTCCTCCTCCCTCCTCCCTCCTCTCTCCTCCCTCCCTCGCTCCTCTTCTTCCTTTCTCCCTTCCTCTTTGAATCCTTTTCTTAATCTCTGTATTGCTTGCTCATCCTTCCTCTCTATCTCACTGCCTCTATCTCACTGTCCCTCTCCTCTCCGCACTCCCTCTGGTCTTACCTTGCTCGCCTCTTCTAAGTCCTCCTCCTCCTCTGACCAGCTTCGCAGAAAGGCGAGCGCGTCGAGATCTTCAACCAGGTGGCCGAGACGGCGAGGGTGCGCGACCTGGCCAAGATGATTCAGGACCAGACGGGCTGCGAGGTGAACTACCTCAACAACCCGCGCAATGAGGATGCGGAGAACGAGCTGGTGGTGTCCAACAACAAGTTCATCAACTTCCTGGGCGACATGATCAGGCTGGAGAGCCAGGAGGGTCTCTTCGACGAGGTGCAGACCATCACCTCCACCTACAAGCACAGGTGCATCAAGGAGAAGATTCTCCCCGCCTCCTTCTGGAACAAGAGGACGGCCGCCGCCTGCGCTGACAACACCCTTGAAGTCATGAAGGCCAATGTAAGGCTTCTTTCTCTTACTCCTACCGCTTCTCCTACTCTCTCCCTCTACCTCCCGACCGCCTCCTCGACTGGCTCTTCTCTCCTCTCTTGCTACGACCTCTGGCTCGTCTCTATCCTGTTCTCACCTCCTCCTTCCTCTATCCTGTTCTCACCTCCTCCTTCCTCTGCTTCCTCGTTGACACTTGGGGCCTGGCAGGTCCCCGAGGGAGAGAAGAAGTTGGGAGGAGTTTTCATGTGAAGCTCTCAAGTTTCTTGCTAATCAGAAGAAGTTTTGCGAATGAAATGTTTCTCGTCTTGAGGCCTCCAGCCTGGTACAGGAGAGCGAGAGGGAGGAGGGGAAGGGATGGGGAGGAGGGAGAGTGAAGGAGGAAGGGAAGGGAGGGAGGTCCGGGGGGGAAGCGGAATTACTATGAAGAGTGGAAGAAAGATCGACTGCAAGACGAGGGAGGTAAAGGAGCAATATTTCACAATCCTAAGATATATAAGGCATGCTTCCCTGGACTTGAGGAGAAAGAGACATACTCTGCTGAACCTGTGAGAAAGAACAGAGGAGAGAGAAAGAGAGATAGGGAGGAAGGGAGGGAGAGGGAGAGGGCGGGGGCGGGGGAGAGAGGAAGGGAAGTATTGTGCAGATGAGAAGACAAGTTGGAGGACGAGGAGGGAGGTAATGATGAAGGGAGGGAAGGGGGGGGGGGGGGGGGGGGGGGGAAGGACCTGGTCTACGAGGAAAGTAAGTTCGTCACACATCTCCTCTTCCACTAGCTCCTCCACCTGAAACAAGTTCGTCATCCACATTGAAGATTCATGTACAGCAGCAGCGACAAGCTTAGTGGGGGAAGGAGAACCAAGGACCAATAGAGAACTTGAAAGGGAGAGACGGATGGAGGGAAGTGGGAGGAGCAGGAGCCAAAAGGTGAAGAGGCTCAGCAGGAAGAGCAACAAGGAGGAAGGGGTAGGAGGGTAAGGAGGGCAGGGTGGAGGTTGAGCAATGAGGAGAAAGTGGAGGGAGGGCGAGGAGGAGGAGGAAGGGGGCAGGACCTCTCGCTCAGAGTTCTCCGATATCTCCGACACGTGGGCAACGTGGGGACCATCGGGAGAATAACAGAATATCCACTTCTCCGGTTGAAAGTTGACCACCAGATCCTGCAAGACCCGTTCAGATCCGCTCAACTTGACTATTTCTCTCTTTCCTCTCTCGCACTCATTCTCTTCTGTGAAATATTCCTCCCTTCCAACTTTTCTGTCACTCCTCCTGCCCTCGTACCGCTCCTGCTCCCTCTCTTGCTCCCTTCCAACCATCCCCCCCCCCCGCTTGCTCTCTGCTCTCCCTCTCTCCCCTCTCTCCTTCCACTCTCGTCCTACCTTGGGGGGCTCGAGCTCGACAGTCTGCTGGGAGTAGAGGCGCATGACAGCCTGAGCCAGGTGAAGTCAGCGGGAAGAGGAGCGAAGACTTGTCTACAACCTGCATGAGCGCAACGATCCCTCCCTCCAGCACAGACACCCTCAGGTCCTCATCGCACGAGACTCCGACGCAACCAAGCTGCATCCTCTGCGTCAGACAGCATGCAAGGCAAAGAGTCTCCTCTACGTTCTCCAGCCTTGAGAGTAACTGCTGAGCCATGACCGGCGCTCTTGTCAGAGATTTTGTGCAGTAGAACACGAGGTGCCGTCCTGTAGCACCGCAGTCAGCAACTTACATGACTGACATGTCGGTGCCATGGCAGTGCCAACCTGATCTCCACATCTCGACCAACTTGTCGAGTTGTACCTGAAGGAGGCAACAACGATCAGGGGAGTAAGAGGAGAGACGATGGAGGGCTGGACGGGAGGGAGCAGGAGAGCCAACCTGCTGCATCGCAGAATCTAGCTGCAGCGCACCCACAATCATGCCTCCAGTGCTCTCCTTGGCGTCTCTCACGTCGATGGGCAGAACTTTCACCCTCGACTGACTCCGCAGCCATGAGCACAGCTGGTCCGCCGTCACCCACGAGAACCTCGCCGGCGTGATCACTGTGCTGTCCCTCAACGCACGCGCCAGCTCCTCAACTCTACATGTGCTATCCTTCTGTCCAAAAGGACTACCGAAACTGTGGGGGGAGTGAGAACGTATCACATCAGGAGCATGTGACCTCTGCTGTGGATGTCTGGGGAAAAAGGGACCCTCCATGATCTCCTTCCTCAGATCTTGACTGATGGCAGGCGAACACTTGCTATAGATCCATCCACTGGCCTGCAAGACAAGCATCAACTGACATGGCAGACAACTGACAAGTAGTCTTCCATCAAGTGACGGAGAGGGAGAGAGAGCGAAAGAGCGGGAGATACATATATATATCTAGAGGCCAGGGAGATAGGACATCTGAAGAAGAATCTATCTGAAGGGTTGAAAATCCAACGCTACTCAACCTCGTAAAATCGCAAGTAAAATCTTTCAAAAATGCTGTGCACAAACACCGCATGAGAGATCGCGTCAATGTTCCAACTAACAATCCACATCAAGGAATGGTGGGTGTTGTATCTTATTCTTTTCATCTTTGACGCTTCACTCGAGTGGATCCTCAATCCATCTATCAAACAAGGCTCCTTTCAACATGAAGCGGGACAGTTTGTTCCTTTGCATATTATCTGGATATGGAAACACGTGCGATCAAGCCATAGCAACTCATCTGGGAAGGATCTACTTCTCGCTATAAACGTTGAATCTTTCATCCTTCCTCTTAGTTTCTCCTCTTCTCCATCCGTTCGCCTGCCTCTGTCTCTACGCCCCAGTTCTATCTCTACAATCATCTTATCTCTAGAGCCGCTATCCACTGGGATGCATCAGCGTCAGTAAGAACCATCTCACCATCACATCAACTTCTCGTCGTAACCTCACATCAAACTTTGATCACTACTGGCAGATGTCGCCACGTTTTCTCATCATGGCTACCAATTTTGTGCGTTTTGCGTACTCACTTACCAATCATCTTACACTTTGTTCCTCCTCCTCTCTTCTCCTCTCTCCTCTTTTCAGCCATCTGCTATCATCTTCTACCAGCCCTCTCACTCCATTGCCGCCTCCAACCCCCCGCCCCCCGCCCCATCCTCCTCGTCCTCCTCCTTCCCCATCTTCCGCAAACGTTGCCTGCTGCACGCACTTCTACCTGCAGTAAACTAAGGTACCCCCACCCCCTCTGATTTTCGCACACCCCTACCTTTGCAACAACCACCTGCCCATCATGCAACCCCACAACATTATTCGAGTGTGACCTTATTCTTTAGAGGCTATGCACTGTGATGTCATCCTTTTTCATCACCCCTACCTACTAGTGGTAACCCCCCACCCACATTTCATCGCAACCACCTCATCATAGGGGCCCCCACCCCTCTTTTTATACCCCTCACATCATTGAAGCTCCAATACCCCACCCGTATCTCTAAAAACAAAAATGACCCCTACCCGTCTAAATTCAGTCAAATGTACCCCTCATACCATATGAAAAATCCACTTGAACATTACCACCCTATTCCAGATGTAAATCTGCAGGTACCCCACCCCCAGTTTTGCTCAGGTACAATACCGCCCTGGCAACTGTGCACTAACGCCTCCTCCAGTACCCCTACCCCCTTCCGTCAATTGCAGTCACCCCACCTTCGTTGTATAAATCAAATGTTCCACCACCCGTACTATCCACTACCCCCATCTAATCTTATCCAGTACCCCCTATCTCCATATTTGGGACTTTTTACATCCCTTGCTTTCAATCCAACCCCTACCCCCCCTCCATTATTCCCCCCCCCCACCCCCCCACAAAACGAATTCCGAACCCTCTGCGATGGTCACCTACTACCCCCATTTTCTCACTACCCCCTTCTCTTCTCACCTACAACTTGACAACCCCATTGGATTCTTGAGCTCTCTATGTCGCTAATTAGGAGGGGTACTCACAATGGATTCAGTTATACATGACCCCTACCCCCCGTTCACCTACCCCATCACTTCACAACAAACTCCGTTGAACCGTTACAAAGGTTTGCCCGGGCCCGGCGGCTCTCAGTGACTCAGTACCACCGGCCTCGGGCCCGGGCAACCGGAAAGTGATTCCGATGACACGATAATACAGGCAGAGGTAGGGGTGGTTTCAGAGAGATAAGGGGGGGTCATTGGATACTTGGGTGGTGATAGGCCTCAAAGCATACAGCACCAGGAGCAGGAGCAGGAGCAGGAGCAGGAGCAGGAGCAGGAGCAGGAGCAGGAGCAGGAGCAGGAGCAGGAGCAGGAGCAGGAGCAGGAGCAGGAGCAGGAGC